AAACTCTGCTCTGTCATTTCTTAGGTCTGTGATCCTTTCACCTCTCTGTGCCTAAGTTTTTTCATCTGTCAAATGGGCATAAGAATCCTTACCACTTGGCGGTTTATTGTGGGAAAGGAGATCATACATACACGTCTCGCAGAGTCAGTCCTCTATAAAGGTGGTTGTTATTATTTGCTGTGGGCTCTCTTTGTGGCTTTGAATAAGCTGCCTCTGACTCTACATCACACAAAGGGAAACCTGGAGAAGATCACATCTTTTCAGTGGCAAAACCACTTCTCCCACATCTAAAGTAGGTAAAACCTGCTTGAAGCAAAGGTGGGGGTCCCAGGGCCTTACTCCAATTTCTCCCCGAAACTTCGCCTGAAACTCCTTCACCAAACCCCAGGACTCTAGAAGTAAGAACCACAGAACCAGACCATCCCCATGGGCCCTTTCAGCACAGATATTCCAGGATCAAAAATATGTATTTGAGAGCCCAGACTGTGCACCAAGACTCACACTCAAGCTGATGGGATAAGAAAGGGAAAGGTCAGCCCCAGCAGGGCCCAGCACAGAAGGGAGGCTCAGCAAACATCCGTTTCCCCTTGATCTCGTCTCCTCCCTCCAATCCAGATGGGGAAACTGAGGCATGGACAGCAGCATCAGACAGTGACTGGCAAGACGTAGAGAAGAATGTGGCTGTAGGACAGCCCAGCCCAGGCCTCTGTGCCTGCCTTCTGGGGTCCGTTTCTTCACCTGGGCATTGGATGGTGGGCCTAGCCCAGCTCCCGTAGAGATGGGGTGCTGAGAATGCTGAGGTTTGCCAGAGCCAGCTCAGACCCTAGATGGTCAACAGGAGAGGCCAGGAAGCAATGCCATGTCAATAGCCAGTGGGTCACCTCCAGAGGGGCTAAGTGGCCACCCAGGAGGGAATCACCACTCTGAGCCAGAGGTGTATAAAAACCCAAGGCCCCACCGCCCTCTCAGCTCAGTGACTGGAATCTGGATGCAGCCACTTCCCTTCCCTACTCTATTTGAAAGGCAGGGCCTCTACCGCCAACCCTGCCTCGTGACCACACACACACACACTCACACACACACACACAGACACACACACACACACACACACACACACACACACACACACTCACACACACAGTGAAAGAAGAGCATACTGACTGACTGGAGGTGGCTTAGATCCAGAATTAAGGAATGTTAAGAGAAGAATTCATTCATTCAGCAAACACTTGTTGAGAACTTTTGTGGCAGACACAAGCCTGCCTCCAGTTCAACTCAAAGAGTGTTAACTTATTTCTCTGTCTAATCACTAAGGCCTTCTTCCAAATAAAATCTTACAAAAAACTTCAATAGATGAAACTTAGATAAAGGGTAAGCTGATGGAGTCACAGGGGTCAGAACCCCACCTTCGGGCCATCCATCCCCCAGCTGGTCCCCAGTGGTCTCCAAGGGACACCAAAAGCTCTGCCAGGCTTGGTGCAAAAGCCACTCCTAGAGCTCATCTAACTCCTCACATGACAGCTGGGGAAACTGAGGCCCAGCCAGGGACCCATAAAACACAGGTTTCCTCACGCCCAGTTTCACATTCCTGCCACTGGGACATGACATGTGTCATACGTGGAGTGACAAAAGGGAGGGAAGTTCCAGCAATGAGCGATCAGTCACAAAATAAAGGATCGTTTTTTCTCACAATGAAGTTTGGCATATTTCTTTAAAATGAAATAAAAAGATCATAGGGTCATTTTTAAAAGCTTTTATTGCACCAACAACCTACAGAATGAGAGTCCCATGGGCTCTTCAGGAAAACATAAAAAACCAAGAGGAGAGCTGGGAAGGGTTTAGGAGCCCAGCCTCACCAGGGTGTGGGAGGTGTAAGGCCACCATCCACCCAGGTGCCCAACTCTGCCCCCTGCCTGTGTGCCCCACCCCCCATTCCCATCATTCCACATCAGCAGTGTGTGAGGACCGGGTGAGGACCAAGGGAGTTGGGCCAGGCAGGGGACTCGGCTTGGAGCTCTGAGAGAGAAATTCTGTCTACAACTCCCAGCCCAGACTGAGTGGATAGGAGGTGCTGGGGCTCCAGGCACCCTGGAAAACTCTCGCTGCCTGTCAAGCCTGGAGATCGAGGAAAGAAAAGCAAACAGATCTGACACAATCATACTTCTACAACCACAGGAGTGTCCTCAAGACCCTGGGGGCGGGGACGACTTTAGCCCCAGTGGACAGATGGTGAAACTGAGGCTCAGGAGGTTTGGAAACATGGCCTGGCTGCAAAGCCCAGGCTCTGAAAACATCACATGGCCTATCGGGCTCCTCCTGTCTGGGGGTCCCAAGAAGCTAGAGGTCCCCCTAACTAAGCGGCCCCTGACTTCAACAGAGCAATGAACTGAGCCAAACTGTGCCCACTGAAGGTGGCTAAGGAGGAGCTGACCCCCACCCCAGCTCAGAAGGGGAAGCCACTGCCCTCTGATTCCAGTTCAACACCCCACCCCCATCATTACTGAGAGCTTGCTATAGCCCAGGGTCATACCAATCCCTGTACCCATGCCTTTACCCCAATAGCCACAGAAGGTGGCTGTGACTGTCACTTCTATACCACGAAGGAGGGCTCCAAGGCCAGAACAGTTCACAGATGAGCCCAAAACCACACAGCCAATGGGAGGCAGCAGGTTGGACACCAGAGGCCCGGCTCGCCCACTGTTGGGTGGCACTGCCTCCCTGAGCAGGCCCGGGGCCAGGAGAGTGGGCAAACCTCTTCTAGTCCCTATACCT